TCTTACTGTGCCTTATTTATATAAATCAAACTTTATCATAGGTATGTATGTACAGGAAAAAATATAGTATATATAGGGTTCAGTACTATTCATGGTCTCAGGCATCCACTGGGGGGTCTTGGAATGTATCCCGCAGATAAGGGAGACTACTGGATATCGAAGTTTTTACATTGGCTTTTAAAATGAGTCCACACTGGGTTTTTGTCAGTTTGCCTCCTGTTGCTTCTTCTTAATTTCCACTCAGACCTCGGACAAGAGTTGATAGAAACAGGATGACATAGAAGAAGGGGCCTGAGCTCTATAGACTGGATTCAATGAGGAAACCTACAGGCTTTGTCACAGTGTAGCCTGTGTCAACGCAGCCTGGAGGGAGTGGGTGGCTGAGAACCGGGAGAGGGACGGGAGGGCCCCAGAGGACAGAGGGCACTTACAGACAGCACGACGTGTGGGGTGAAGGGGAGACAGTATCGAAATGCATCCATAGGATCGATAGGATGATGGTGTCGCCCTGGTGGAGGAAATTGGGAAGACAGGACAGGACAGCAGAGGGCAGTTGGGGTGCCGATAACCCCAGGTGGAGAAGAGGTGTCTGAGTGGGAAATATGCACTGGGCCTTTATCCTTTTAGTAAGTATTTTTTTGGGTGCCTCTTATGTTCCGAGTATCCTGGGGGTAGGTAAACAGTAGCTCCTGTCTCCAGAGAGCTCATGTTAGAGTAAATCCATGGATGGATGGAGAAGAAAAACGGGTGAGTTTTGAGTCTTAAGGGGTAACCGGATGGGGAGAGGGGAGGTGTGTTGGAGGGTGGCCGGCCGCAGAGAAGTCTGAGGGCAGGCGGTGTGCGTGCCCCTGCCGCACCCCTACCATCGCTTAGCAGGGTCTGCCTAGCTGCTTTCTAAGCATGGAGGTGGATGAACGAATAAATGGGGTGAATAAAAAGGTCTAGGGGAGGGAGGGCAAGGATGTGACCTTAGGATTGGGCTCATAGCGGTCACCTGCCAGCTTGGAACTGTTTCAGTGGAAAGGATGGAGAACTCAGACGACAATCGACAGAGGGAGTGGCAGCATATACTGACCACCCCTTTGATAAGTATAGGCAGGTATTCTGGGAGAGAAACTGGACCAGACCAGGGCGGCTGGTAGAGTTGGGTAAAACCTTTCCCCAAAGGGCACTTGGGAACCCGTGATTTCCTTTGAGGGACATGCCTGGAGTTGCCTTAATGGATGGCCAGAATTTTTAATGAGGATGAAGAATGATGTCGCCTGACAGACGGGGGAGGGGAATGCAACTTGGGTTTCCAGGTACCAGAGGCTTGACGTAGGGTGTCTGGTCTACTGCTCACAGCCACCCGAGGAAGAGATCATATTAAATGGCCTCATTTTACAGGAGGAAACAGAAGCTCAGAGAGGTGAGCATCTGCCCCGCGTCACAGCCGGGAAGGAGGAAGGGGATGAGCCCAGGTCTGTGGGGCCTGGGCCACCTGCCGCGGACACACCCCAGCAGCATTTAGCCAGAATTGGCTAGAAGCTGGGCTAGAAAGGGCAATCAGGAATTTGGGGGCTGAAGGCAGAAAAAAATGTAGGAGTTGTGAAATAGGCCGCCTTATTTCCATTTAAAAGAGAAGGCCTGAAGCTTCCAGGGGAACCTGCCCTGTTCAGGTAATAGCTTGTTAGCAAGCTAGGGACTGAGATGCCTGCCCAGTGTCCTCTGACTGCAGGTGAGCCACAGGTGAGAAGGATGCACAGGTACTCTCTGCCCTGCTCCTTTCTGAGAGCTTTCCTCTTTCTAAGAAAGACGAGGACACCACAGCTTTCATTTATCCAGCATACCTGGAGCCAGTGCTGAGCGTTCACATTTGTAGCTTATTTCTTTGTCCCAGCAGCTGTGTTATACACATCTTACCGACGTGGATTCAGATAAGTTTCATTGACTGAGGTCACATGCTAATAAGCTCGTAACACCTGGGGTTGGAACCCAGCTCCAGATACTGTGTCACCTTACATCTTTAGATCAACCCGGTGAGGACGGTGGTGGCTGGTCATTTTATCCCCACTTGACAAAAGAGCCTAGGAAGGCTCAAGGCCAGTGGCCTCTCCCGGGCTGTACGAGACAGACCAGGACGAGCTCTGGCTAGAGCCCAGGTCTCCCTCTGCTAGCCTTGGGCCTCTGATGGCAGAGGAGAGAAGAAACAATGAGTTACAACATCCAGGACCAGTGAGGCTAGCCCTGGGCCACAGACCGTGGAGGCGAATGCACCTCATCCAGGCAGAAGGAGCGGGGAGGTAGAATGCACCCCAANAGCTGTTGTTCACCATCTTAGCTGTAGAGGGCTCAGCATCGCTGGCCCTAATGTGGGCTCTGAACCAGGGCCCTGCTGCTCAGAGCTGGCATCCCAAGCCACTCCTAACCAACACACCACTCGGCCGGCTCTGCAGCACACTTTAAAAAGCACCTTCTTGGGCCGGCCGAGTGGCTCAGTTGGTTAAGAGCGCGAGCTCTGAGCAACAGGGTCGCCGGTTCGATTCCCACATGGATCAGTGAGCTGCGCCTGAGCTGAGCTGCTCTGAGCTGCTGATGTGAGGCTGGATGGCTCAGTGGTTAGAGCACGTGCTTCTAACGACAAGGTTGATGGTTCAACTCCTGCGTGGGATGGTGGGCTACGCCCACCCGCAGCTAAGATTGAACACGGTACCTTGAGCTGAGCTGCCCTGAGCTGCCGACAGGCCAAAATATGGCGACTGGACTTGGAGCTGAGCTAGCTGCGCCTTCCACAGCTAAGATTAAAGGACAACAACTTGGCTGTTCCCCTTCCCCAGTTCCCCAACACTGTGCCCCTTCCCCAATTCCCCAATAAAATCTTTTTAAAAACCCCAAAAAACAAACACACCTTCTCTCAACTGTAGCTCACACCTTATTGCATCGAACAAGTTGAAACTTGTCACACACTGTTACTGAGGTTCAACACGCTGCTTCCTGTATTAAAGATGCCTGCCTTTCCATTGGATGGCCCTCAGCAGCAGCATTCACTGAATTTTGTGAGGCTCTGTCTCACACATCGCTTCTGGTATATGGCAATTTCTGTCAAACAAAAATTACGGTTTGTCCTCTTCCACCTTATTCACCAGATCTGGCATCGTGCAACTCTGGCTCTTCCCCAAAATCAAAATGACCATGAAAGATAAACGTTTTGAATCGATTCAGGACATTGAGGCAGCAACAACAGCACAACTAAAGACACTCACAAAAGAAGATTTCCAGAACTGCTTCAGAAAGTGGCAAGAACAATGGGACGAGTGTGTTCGAAGTGAGGAGGGAGTATTTTGAGGGGGATTAATGGCAATGTGCCTTTTCTGTAATAATTGTTTTATTTAAACAAAGTATTGTTTGATCACACCTCTTATTGCGCACAGCCCTGTACTGAGCTCTATCTGCATGTGTGATCTCTGTGGTATTATCATTATTCCCTGTTTCATGTATGAGAAAACTGAAGTGTTCAGAGGTTGAATAACTTGTGCAAGGCCACACATCTAGTAAAGGCAGACCCGAGATCTGACTGTTCATCCCCAGAGCCTGTGTGTGCGATGCTTCTGTCCTGCCTGGGAGACCTGGGAATGAGGGCTAGTGGGTGAAGGAAGGAGGACTGATGCCACACTGGCCTGCGGGACTGAGGGGCTCCTTTGGTTGTGTTGACTCTTCACAGTTGGGGGTGGGAGAGGTTTTAATGCCCAGGATATGACCTCTGAGATTTGCACAGTGATTGATTTCCTTTGTAATGTCTAGATTGACCCACAGCAGGGTGTTCTCACAGTCACCCTTGAAGACCACCCAGGAAATTCGTTTGGAGTAAAATGAGCAGCAGCCCTCTTTCCTTTGGAGGCCTGAACACACACACACACACACACACACACACACACACACACACACACACACACACACACACACACACACACACACCCCTTGGTGTCATTTGTCCTAGCTTTTGTTTGTTTCTGTGGGNCTCTGGAAGGAGGGACCCCTGTGGGGCAGAGGCTGGCTCTGGAGTGAGAGGTGCAGGATGAGGCATGACTTGTGCATCTCAGCTTTCTAGAAGTAAAAATTTAGTGTGTGGGGCTCAGGAATGCACTTGGAAATGTTTCCAATTTATTTTTATTGCCAAGCAGTGTCTAATGAAAATGTGGGGGAAAGACCCAGAAGCCTGCAACTCGTAAATCACCTGCTTGCGTTTTCTGATGTTGCCTCTTAATCCTTGTCCTTACATAAATGATTTTATATGGCTGTAACTGGAATGGAGATGCAGTGTGTCTCTCCAGCCCTGCAGCCTACTTTTTACATTTACCATTCTATCATAAACACTTCCATTCTTTGCAATTATCATTTTAAACAGCGATATGATATTTCTTTGGGTGGATGAACCATGGTTTCCTTACCTATTTCTCCATTTGGGGGGCCATTTAGATCGTTTCTAGCCTTTCACTGTTACAAACAATGCTGTAATAATTTTGTCTTTAAAAACAAAAGAAATTAGTGCTCTAAGATAAATTCTCAGGAATGTAGGTTCTTGGATTAAAGAGACAGAACTTTTTTTTTTTTCCATTTTAAATTGGCCTTCGGAAACTGTGAGCCAAATCCCTTAAAAGCTGCTTCCCTGGGTATTGTTTTTGTAATCAGCAGACTGACAGTGGGGGCTGGGCATTGTGTCTGGGGGCTGTGGGGAGCCACTTCCTCCAGCCTGAATCCCTGGGGTGAGGCTGTGTCCCGGAAATGGCCAAGGGCCAGGTCTCACACCCTCTGGTTCTCCTGCTGCTGTGATAGGGGTTTGGCTTCCTGGCACCTACCTGTCCCCCTCCCAGATACCTGCAGAAGCTTGTTGCTGCCTGAGTGGAGCATTTAGCATTCAGATAGAGACCCCAGAGGAGGTGGCTGCTGTCATGTATCTCCCAACCCCTTTCTGTTGGCTTTAAAGGTTGATATGTTTTTTTTGTTTTTTCCCCTTTTCCCAGAATTGTTCCTGTTGAAGAGTGGCTGCTTGATTTCCAGACCCTTTGAGGTTTTAGGAATCCAGTAGGTGACATTCTCTACCTCTAAGGAGACACACTATCTGCTCCTTCATCAAGTGCAAGGTCTCCATTGCTATGGATACCGAGTCCACGTATTCTGGATATTCTTACTATTCAAGTCATTCGAAAAAATCTCACAGACAAGGGTATGTACGCTGTGGATCATTTCACTTTTCCTTTTGGGGAAACATGCAGGTCACGTGGGGGGTGGGGTGTTCTCAACTCACTTTTCAAATAGTGGCTTGGGCTACAAGGCTGTTGATGGAGGTTTAATCCTGGTGCATGTGAGAAGCTGAGCTTGGAGAAGGTGTGACATGCGTTGGGCTTCACTACACCACCAATTTGCATTTTATAGCTGCCATTAGAGTTGATGACCTTAATTTCTCATAATTGATTTTAAATTAAAGTTGCTCCCTGCAGTGGAAATGTTTTTCATTGTCAAGTACTTCTCCTAGATGATGGTTCAGTTCTCCCAAAGCATTATCAAGGATGTAAATGAAAAAAAAATTTTTTAAGTGTTCATTTCTTGCTTTTCATTCAAAGCTGCTGACTCAGTGTCCGTTTTGCATTTTCCACGAGACATCATTCTCTCTGACTAGTCTTCCCATTGAGCAAGCCTGGGTTTTGAAAAGCTGTCCTGGGGCTCAGGGGTGCGTTTTGGTTGGGAGTTGGCTTGGGATGCCTGCTCTGGGCGGCGGGGCCCGGTTCGGATCCCATGTTGGGGACAGTGATGCGTCGCCCTCTACAGCTAAGATGGTGAATGGCAGCTCAACCTGGAGCTGGGCTGCTATGGGTCGCTGGCGACGGCTGGGCTGCAGTGGGCTGCCATCTGTGAGTGGCTGGCGGCTGGCGTGGGCTGCCGGGAGCCGCAGTGAGCGACCATCCAGTGGCTGGCAGCCCTTCTGCCTCACCCGGGAGGAGTGCAACATGGGCTGGTGGGGCGACGTCCTTCACAGCTAGACTGAGGAACAAGGGGACAGCGGCTTGTCTGTTCCCCTTCCCCAAGTCCCCAGCACTTTTCCCCTCCCCCAATTCCCCAGTAAAATCTTTAAAAAAACAAACACAAAGAAAATGCTGTCCTGGGTGCTGGAGACCAACACAAATGAACAGGTGCTCCCTAGTAGTCATACAGCCTGCCCTATTGCAGACCTGCAGAATGTCTGGGGAGTAAAGGAACAAGTGGATGAATAAAAGGTGGCATTGTACTAGTTAAGAATACAGTTGGTAAAATTGCAATGCTGCTTCCACTGAGATGCCTCATCTGTGAAATGGATATAACAGTACCCTCCTTCTGGGACTGTTGAGAGGATTAAAGGAGATTATGCATGGAAAGCATTTAACACAGCACATAGTAGGAGGTCACTAACCAGTGGCTGTATTAATGCTATTAGTGGTCTTGGCATTTCAGCACCACATTCGAAGGCCCCAAATGGCCACAGCCCAGAGGCCCACTGGTGGGCACAGCCCTGCGTGGGCTGGGAAGGGTGGCTGTAGTGGTGTCTCCCTGACCGACCAGCTCTTCATACAAGCAGCTGAAGGCAGAACGTCTTGTTTTATAAAACAGCAGTAACTGACTTATTTATTTGCAAGCCCATATGGATGAACACACACACAAGGCGGTCTGGAGGGGTATTCTCCCAGCCACCAGGAGTGGTCATCCACAGGGAAGGGGCAAGACGGTGACTGATGGGAACATTCGTTTCTACTTTATCTTTCTGTACTTGTTCATCTTTTACAAGTGTGCATTTTGCAATTAAAAATATAAATGGCTTCAAAGAGTATAAAAGAAAGGTTTTCAAAGAGTAGTTAGTGACATGAGAACATGTTCATGAGGCCATGTTATAACAAACAAGACTCAAAAGTTTGTGCATTATAATATATAGCCTTATGCTAAGATGAGTATTAACATATTGACCATGTCTGTCTCAGAGTATACCATGTTTCCCCGAAAATAAGACCGGGGAAAAATTATATTATTTTTTGCTCCAACAATCTACATTTATTCATGTACAAAAATCTGCATTTATTCAAACAGTCATGTCTGGCTGACGATCTTCACTGGGACTTATTTTGGGGTAGGGCTTATATTATGAGAATCCTGAAAAATCATGTCAGGGCTTATTTTCCAGTTAGGTCTTATTTTGGGGGAAACACGGTTGGACTATTAGGATTATGGGTGGGTTTTTTTTTTTTTAACTTTCATTATTTTCTAAGCTTTCATGTACTGCTGTTATAATTGTAAAAACTAGGGGAAACGATATAAATGAGCTTGTGCTGGAGGCCAGGTAGTCCTTTCTCATCAGTGTGGGGGACAAAAAGGAGTCTGCCAAGTGAAGCCCGAAGCCACACACCTGAGCCCAGATCCTGAGAAAGCCACACCCCCTCTGGTGATAAAAATGTCCTCACAAACTTCAACCAGTGGTCAAACATATCAGATGAGTGATAAAAGACCAGACGCAGCTTTTTTAAAACTATCAAATCTTTGGACCTAACTGCGAAAAGCAATTGCTCGTGGCAGAATTCAGAATTTGGGGTTCTCTTGGTGTTTGGAGGTGAATAAAGGAGGATACCTCGCAGAAGTCTGAGCAGGAACCATCTCGGGCCTCCTTTATCTACACGTGTGTCCCAGCTGTCACGCGTCAGGGCCTCCGCTATCTATGCCCTGCTGTTTCCTCAGGTCTCTTGGGGACCCCTAGAAATTGATACAGGACTGCAGTGCCCTTGTGGAAACTTTAAGAGACTATAACTTTCCATTAAAACAGCATGCAGAACTCTTAGTGTCTTCTAGGACCCATGTAGAAAGTCCTTGGCAAATGATAATACAAGCTGAGACTTTTAATAAGTTAATCAAGGAATGTTATTGCATGCTGACCCACGAGAGCTCTGGGGGAAGGGATGACCATCAACGATTTCTAGATGAGCTCCATGGTTCTTTAGTAAAAAGCAGCACCCCTGTGTGGTGAATTCTCTGACTGAGGGCTCTGGGGAGCAAAGGTTGTAATCCTTACAAGCATGTGGCAGGGAGTCCCTTGCTGGGACGTCAGGAATATGGAGCAGTAACACTCCTGGCATGTGAGCCAGCCCTAGACCCAGCCAAGGCTATTGTGTCACCCAAAAGTGTCCCCATGAAGGCTGCTCTGCTCAGGGATTTGTCGGGAATTTGAATGGAAGCGTAGGAAAGGTGAGGGACCTTGCTTTTTGGTAATTTTAGTAGAATTCGAACCCAGAGAGGAATAATGAAGTGCACCCAACTTGATATGCCTGATGACACCGTGATCACCTCTGGAGGACTGGCTGGGTTCCAAGTAGATTACAGGTGACTGTTTTCTCACAAAGAGGTTAGTAGTGTGGTTTTTCTGAGGTCTGCCATCTCCAGAAGGTGTCCAGTTTACTTGCTGGGAAAATGGTGTAGGCTTCAGCCGACCTTGTCTAACCTTTGGGTTTGGAGCACCAGTTCTTTGAGCTAAATACAGCAACTGCCAGCCGTGTTAATGACTACTGGGAGGGTACCTGCTCGGACCCTCAGCCAGGATCCCCCATCCTCACAGCAGCCCTAGAACGGTGGGAGGGGGCGCCTCCATTCCACAGGCAGCAAAACGGGCTCAGAGGCAACGTTATTTGCCTGAAGTTACAGGGCTGGTTTCAGGCCCGACTTGCTGGTGCTTTGGAAGCCCATGGTTTCCCCTGAGCTGTGCTGGATGGAGAGCAGCAAGAGTGACTGGTAGGGGGCAAAAAAGAGAAATGAAGGGTCACTCACATGACTAATAAGCGAAAATGTATTGCCCAAAAGAGCGCTGCCCGAGTGGGTGAGCACCTGGCGCTTTTGTTCCCGGGCTGCCCAGAGTCAGTTTGCACTGGCCCAACCCTCACACCCGTCAGCGCAAGAGGAAGCAGCCGCCGGCCCAGGCAGCCCGTCCGCAGAGAGCAGGGCAGGTAGTGGGTGGTGGTAGAGAAGGAAAGGGAGGAGTAACCGGTGGGGCCGGCTTTCCCCAAATAGAAATAGCAAACAACAGAAACAGAGCTATTATAAATAATCTTCCCAGGAAATGCCAGCTGTACGTGGGAATGGCATGGGAATGGAGGGAGATTCTGGCTGGGGCGAGAGGGAGTTCACAGCAGCCCCCACGGGCTCAGCTGTAGCGTCACCTCAGTGGGTGTGTTCATACGAACCTGCAGGTACAGACGTGTGCCGGGCCTCCTGCGTGCCGTTGCCTGCTCTGCCACCCCTCTCACATGCACATACACGCTCACAAACACACTTATCTTTATTCATACGGGCAGGTGTTGTGTGGAGACAAACTCAGAGATAAAGATACAAAGATTCCTGTGGCTGACACAGGTGCCCAGCGAAGGCACAGGTGACCCAGACCACTTAGCAGAGTTGGAAAAACACCCAGGTGTGTCTTGTGTTTGTAACACCCTTTCAGTGGTTTGGTTCCCTTATTCCCCAGTCTCCTATTTCTGTCCTCTTGGACACTGGTGGTCGTCACCGCTGAGGAGCCCTCTCCCAAAGAGCACTTGGCACTTCTTGGAGCTATGGGATGAACATTGGGGGACCTGTGGCAGTGAGGCGGCCATACTGTAGCTCATAGCTCTGCAAACTGGAAAGCACTAACCGGCAGCATTGTTGCTGGACTTGTCTATTGAGTCCTGGCTCAGAGACCTCCCTGGCAGTAATTCAGGACCAGTGCTCTTTATAAAAGCTGTGTGGCGGTTCTCACTCCCTTGACAACATGGACCAGCACAACGCACAACCCACACTGACTTGACAGGATGACCTGTACATTTGCCCCTCACTTGTCAGTGCAGGGGAGGCACTGGGCTTGCTTAGGTGTCCCTCAGTGCTGAGCCACGCTGAGCTGAGCCTTTCTTCCAACCTCATCCTCTTAACGCTATTTTAATAAAGAAGCCACTGGACGTTGCGACCTTGTACAGCTGAGCATTGTGCTCATGGCTCCCACGATTGAGCCCCTGCTGTATGCATGGCATTTCACAAACAGGCTGACTTCCGGGTGGCCGGTCCAGTTCTGCTCGTGCACTAGGAGCATTTGGGTGGGAGAGCCTTGGGGAACATCTCCTGGGCCACCTTTGTTTCCCGGACCACCTTCATCCTAATTACCTGGGGTGCTGGTAAAACATACAGATTCCTGTTGTCTCCCTTGCAGACAAATTCTCTGAGGGTGGCGTCAGTGAGTCTGCACTTAAACCCACACCCCCCGGTGGCTTCTGCACACTCAGGTTTGAGAAGCACGGGTTTAGGGTTTCTGGCTCTGGGGATGAGAAACCTTCCTGGGGTTATCAGATAATAGTCTCCTATCTGGTTTATGTCAGATGTTACCAGGAGAATTGTTAGACTGTTGCTTCTCCTTTGGGGGCTCTCGGGCCCTTCAAGAGGCAGGCTGGGTGGGTCAGGGGTTGGAGTGGTGGCCAGTACTAGAGAGGCTGGTTTCAACCCTGGGCGGTTCCGTGCCTGATTTCTGCTTTGGGAGTGTTCAGGCTCTAGGAATTGGCACTCAATGAAAGAATTTTGATTGCCAGTGGAATTTGTGCTGTCACAGGATTTGACCCATGAAACTAGTGAATAGATAGATGGGTTAGGGGAGCATGTGACTTGGCTGATGGCAGAGAGAGTGATAGAAGTGAGAGCAGTTGGGGAAAGTGGAAACAGTCAAATCGAAGAGGAGGCCCCTAGGTCTGCCCGAGGTGGGGCCTGGGGAGCAATGGTTCTAGGCTTAGTCTAAACAGTTCACTCTGGAGACTGACCAGGCACGTGGAAATCGCTCCCAAGTTGTTCATGGTTCCTCACAGTGAGTCCTTTTGAAGTGCTTG